ACAAGCCCACAGGACTGATCTTTCTATTCAATAAAAGTCAGCACTGAACTGCTTTTCTTTCAAAAGAGTTGGCCTTGACAAGAATCTCTTAGTTGTTACCAGTTATTTTAAAAATGTTTTATATTTTTTAGAGCCCATTAGGTTATTAATGAGCTCCTCCCTGAAGCCCCTCTTGAGTTAAGATAGCATTATCTCTCCTATGAATGAGAGGACAAAGAGGAGAATGTTGTTGATGGTCATATTAGAAAACCACTAAGCCCTCCAATCTCGTCTGCATTACCTGGGCACTTAGCAATGCCGAAACAAGCACTGGACTGGCAGATAAAACCTGGCTTTGACTTTGGGCAAGTCACTAACCTCTTCGAGTCTCTGTTCTGTCTTCCTTTTACAAAGTGAGGATGGTAACTTTTTTCCCTACCTACCTCACAGGTAGGTGAACACCAAGAGATAATATATATAAAATTCTCCTATAAACTAGAGCACTTTAAAGATGTAAGGTATCATCTACAGCTCTTTTTCAAGTGGTGCATTTTTGCTATACTCTCTTGCTTTCATTTCTCCCAATAGAAACCAAACATCTCTTCAGAGTTCTCTAACTTTATCTGCAAAACTTGACAGGGTTTTTTGGGGGGATGGGGAAATAGTTTACAGTTCTGTTTCCTTCTCTTGTCAAGCACCGGATGCGAAACTCTTTTCTTTAGAGGGGACTTAGACCAAAGAAAAACATTGATTGGTATTCCACTCATCAAATAGGAATTGGCAGCGTGAAAATTATTTAGAGCAGTGTCTATAAGGATCTATTTGTAGGAGGGGTAGGAGGGATGAAATGCTATACTTTATCATCCCATATTCTCTTCTCTTACTGTTCCTGCCTCCACTCATTTTGAATGACTTGCAAGGATCTAAGAGGGGAAAACAGTTGTACTCATAGGAGTGGCTTCTATTACAGACTGCTAAAGCAATAGCAAAAAGTATTACTTTTTTCAGTTTGTGGAGTTTGGTGGTCAGCAAAAGATTTATTTGCATTTGGAAGAAAGTGTAATGTTGTTATTGTCACACAAGTTGAATGCCATTTTCTCAGCTCCGTGAACTGAGAATACCAATTTCAGAAGAAAGCTAATTTTTTTTTTCTTAAAGGGAGGAACTTGTGTCTACTACTGTACCACTTTTAATGGATAGTATTAGTTTTTATTTTCATCTTTTAAAATTAACTGTCCTCTTTAATTTCACCTATTTGGATTTATCCAAATAGTGTAACTTTCATATGTTTAAAAGACACCAGGTCTTTTTAAGTATTTTGTTCCATCGGAGTTATTTGGTAATCGGATATTACATCTGCCTAGGTTATTTATCGTATCAACTTTGTTTCAGAGCTAACTCTTACCTGTTCTAGCACATTTTCAACTGAAATGCTTAAATAGCTCTCTTCAGCATCTTTTTTCTTGCATGTAACTGAATCACTTAGCAGGGTTGTAGCAAAGCTAGATCGAAGCCAGTTTTGCACTTCATAAGAGAGACCCTGGATTTATGGGCGGGGACCTGGGTGCTGTTTTAGCGATTTAACAAATCTGCTTCCTCATCTATAAGTGGACATTATCTACTCTCCCCTTTCTAAAATGAATGTTCATTCAATCATACTAGATAACATGTATAAAGTGCTTTGACATAAAATGTGCAAGTTAAATAATCCTGCTCAACTTGTTAAACTACATACACATCATAAGCATTTCACTTGAGTATTCTAGGCAATTAGTGTTATCTTTCTCACAATTTATATGGCATCTTGAAGAGGGCAGTGCACTTAGTTTAAACTGGATGCTGAGTCAAAAACAAAATGGGATCGTCAGTCCATTTCCATTCCTCTAGGCTTCAAGCCAGTTTCAAAAAGCTCCAAAAATCTTTGGAGAGGCCCAACCCTTCTAAGTAAGTGAAAAGCATGTATCCTAGGGCTCATAAGTCAAAAGCAAAACAAGAAAAGACTGACTTTGTAAATGCTGAAAATTGCCCTTTCTTTACACCAGTTTTCTAAGTTATCTGGATTTAGGCAGCCCTTTTGTAAGGAAAACTAAAGCTACTGGAAATTTGTTCCTTGAAACTGTCAGAACAGAATCTGGGCCAAAAGTCTAACTAGCTTTTGTGGGCACTCATGAAGATGGTGAGATCTTTTAGTCCCCTTGGTAGACTGGTATCCAGCTAGAATATGACATAGCTACTGGGCCAGTATGAGAACAAGTGGAAAGTACCTCCATGTTTAAATTACCCATCGTGATAATTACATCAAATTTGGTGTCTTTTTCAGGCACCGATTTCTCTAGTACCCTCAATTCCAAAGACCACATGCAAATAAGGTCTTTTCCAAAGAACACCTCCAAGAATTTTACTTCAGTTTCTGCTACTATCCTGCTTTGTCAGTTTGCCAAGTTTGCTGCTGAGAAAGGCAGAGAATATTGAGGATAGTCCTTTGGAATGTTACAGCACTAGATAAGATCAAAGTGATGTATATGAAATTGAATGAGACCTTGAAGTGTATATCCATATTCACCAGCAAAGTTCACATTCAGTTTCAATGTCACATTTCCATCGGTCTCTGGATGTAACTGAACTTTTCCTGTCCTGGAAGTTAGACTAGTATAAATCTGGAACTTGATGGTATATATCCAATTTTGGAACTACCCCCTCCGTGGGCAGAGTACAAAACACAGTCTCACAGAAGGGAGTCTTGCTCCATCACTTGATTGCTTCATCACCTCTCATGTCCTGCCTGCCTTGGCTTAGGCTAGCTTCCCCATCAAGGCAAACTTTACAGCTTTCTGCAAACAGCATGTCTCAGAAGGGTTAAAATGATACTGCCCATCGGTTAGCTATTTTCCTCCTTTTATAGATAAGTAAACTGAAACAGAGAAAGGGTGGGTTTCTCCTTCGCACTTGTCAGTTTGGTGCCCGAGAGGCCAAAGCGAGGGGCATTTGAGATGTCAATGAAAAGTGCGTGACAGGTTTTTCCACCGAAGTCCTACCACACGAAATGAAAATAAAATCCTCTAAGCAGCCAAGTGAACAGCCAGAGTTGGCCAGCCTTACTCCAATCCCCTTGATTCTTCATTACTGAAATGATCTACTTCCTTCCTGCTGGGGGTGGGGGGACGGAGGCACTGGGGAGCCCTTTTCGGACCCGGCAGCCCTCACCGACAACGAGCTAGGTCTTTGGCTTCCGCACACTTGGGGTAACGGGGCCCTTCAGTGGGAGACGGGATGCCCTCAGGTAGCGATGGCCGGGAAGAGCGAACACAACCGGAGCAGCGCTCTGCGCGCGGAGCTACTGGGGATCCGCAGCACCCGAAGAGACGCGAGAACCGGGCGGAGCTTCCCCACCCGCGTGGGCCGGGAGGGGTGGGGCGGAGCTCTCGGCCAGCAATCCCGGGGTCCCCCTACTGCGCATGGCACGTTGCGTACCTCCATCCCGGCAACCGGCCTGGCGGCGGCGAGGCCATAAACTAAGGAGGCGGAGCTGAGACGGGGTCGGGGCAGCTTGCTAACGCCAAGACCAGGTACCGGACTGCCGGGGCCGCCTGCTGCGCTCCAGGGATCAGCCCCTCCTCTCCCTGTCGCCGGTTCCATCTCCTCCGGGCCGGCCTTCGTCGGAGCCGCCATCCCGCTCCCCCGCCCCCGCCCTCCACGGCCCCCTTTTCTCCCGAGTCGTCCTCGATTCCCGCGATCAGGGGCTGCAGCCCGAGAGCAGAATAGGCTTGGGCCAGGCCGGGAGGCACCCGAGCGGTGTTATTGGGTAGGAGAGGTGAGCTCTTGCTTTCCCTTCTTCCCCCCTGACTTCCAGATGGCGAACCTGGGGCCCAGGTGTCAATTTGTCTTAAGCAAAGAGAGGGCAGGTCCTAGTGCTTACCTCTCCCGCCCCCTTCCCATCCCCATCAAATCCCAAGCTGGACAGTTAGCGGGTCAAGCCTCCATAAGGATAGAGATCCATGTATCAGACAAAACAAAGACCTTCTAATGGTCTTGTTTTCGAAGAATGTTTAAGTGCCCACAGTAGATAGATGTGTGATGGAGATGGCGGGGTGGAGTGGGGGGATGCGGGGTGAAGGTAGAGAAGTAAGCGCGAGGGAAGAGATGTGGTTAAATAAAATTGTTCACGTTTTCAGATGGGAACTAACTTCTCTGCCCAGCCTGCTGCTAAGATATCCTAACGTATCTTCACTTGACTTCCTCTAAAGAGGAAAAGCTGTTCGCATTGATGCTTTTCTTATCGTAATATCTGTTGAAGTAGAACTACATTCCAGTTATGTATTTGCGGCATTAAGACAATTCTTCATTGACTGATTCATACTTTCTAGAGACCCCATGACTGTTTCTTGTCCCTGAGAGTTGAAGAAGCCGAATCTTATCTGATTACCTGTCTCAAGCCAGGCGCCTATTCAGCCATTACAGTGCTGAACTAGTTAAATCTATTCCTCTACCCTTTAACTAGGTTTATAGAGGTTTTGTGGCTCGAAATGCAATGTTTATAACTGTAACCCCAGACATGGAGGGAATTTAGAAAACCAGTGGCAAAAATAGGGGAAAAAAAAGAAAAAAAAATCAAGATAAATGAATTCTATGTATACCATTTAGCATCTGGTCAGCAGCATTGTCAAATTAGGTGGTATCTTCTTAGTCATCATTATATCTTTGCACACACAGTCTTGACAGGTCTCCCTAGGTTTCTCTATTTGCTAGAGCACAGACTTTGAAAAAGATCTATTAGTCCTTCATCACTTTCCTGTGTAACTTTGGATGTTTAATCTCTCTGATCCTTAATTTCCTGATCTGTAAAAGGGATAATACTTATCGTGAACTGATCTCTGTGAAACATTTAGCACAAATCCTGGCACATGGTAAGTTCATCATAAATGCTTGCTGCTTTTATTGTTTTTACTATTATATTATAAATTTAGCAGATATAGGCGTGCTATAATTATATGTTGGGCACAGTACACCCCAGAAACGCAACAGTGAACAAGATGCATTCCTTGCCCTCAAGAAATTGATTCTAGTGGAGGAAACTAATAAATGGGCAGTTAAGAGTGTGGTAGCTGTAAGGGTTGAATACCGAGGCCAAACACCTAACATAGGTGGGAGGTGGGTCAGGGAGGACTTCCAGTAGTACAGGACACCTGAGATGAGTAGTGAGGAACAGGCCAAAGTTAATCAGATTGGGGCAAGGAAGATGGTCCAGGAGGGAAATCAGGATCTTAAATTTTATCTTCGGCCTTGATTTCCTGCCTGCCTTTCAAGCACCATGTCCTAGCTATGGACCTATCCCAAGGCTCTCTTCCCAGCCTTCTGCTTTTGTCTCTCACCATTTCTCCGTTAGTGTATTTCTGTCACTTGTATAGTGTTAGCTGCTAACTCCCAACTCTACATAGCCATCTCTAACCTCTTTCTTGAGCGTCAGTCTTAACTTTTCAGTTAGACTGAAATACATATAGCATAAATTGTGTGTGTGTGTGTGTGTGTGTATAAACTTGGAATGTGTAACTGTTCTCTCAACTGCAATATGATTTAAAACCTTGCACTCATCATTCCACCAAAACCACTGCCACCTCTGAGCTTTCCTGTTTTGTCGTTGCCACAGTATTTTCCCAGTTACTTGGGCACACATACAAAAGAATATCAGAGTCATCAGAGTTGCCCACAGGTAGAATGGGCTCCCCGATAAGGTAGTAAGTCTCTGGTATGGGACGTTTTCAAGCAGAGACTAGATAACCTTATATCCAAGAGTCTGTAAAAGCTATTCCTCCAAAGGGTGAAGGATGGACTAGGTGACTTATGGCATCCTTGCTAACAAAATATGATTTCTTTATTTCTTCTTCTCCCTTATCCTTCTATTTCTTAACTATCCCTCTATCACAGGCTCTTATCACCACAAATCTGGTTCACTATAATTGTATTCTAACTGGCATTTCTTTCTCTTGGTTATTTTCACCTCCCCTTCTCCTGTTCCTCTGCAGATTAATATTCCTTATATGCTCCTTAGAACAAGGCTTCTCAAACGTTAGTCAATATGATGGTCCACAGATCAGCATAGTCTGGGAGCTTGTTAGAAGGACCAGGCTCCACTTGAGACCTTTTGAACCAAAATCTTCATTTTAACAAGATCCTCAAGTGATTTGCATGCACAGTAAAGTTTGAGAGACACCTACCTTAGACCACTGTTTTGTGTTTGTCCCGTTTCTGTTCAAAACCTACAGTGGCTTTTTACTGCCTGCTGAATAAAATCCATACTCTAGCATGCATATGAGACCTGTTCGGTTTTCTCATATACGTGGAGTTTTGCTTCTGAAACCGCCCTCACATTAGTTAGAGAATGTATGCAAAATGCTGACTATTTCTCAGCACGTTTGGTCATTCGTTCAGTATTACTGCATGCCTACTCTGTTGTAACTGGGAGATACGCCTGTGGACAAGACACAGCAAGCACTAGATAATCAGTAGCCAATACAATTTCGTGCTTGCATTCCCATTTTCTTTAAGTCCTATTTGACATTCAAGCCCTAGCCCTTCATGAAACTGTCCAGGTCCACCTGTTTCCCTTTGCCGAACTCCAGAAGCATTGCCTGTTTCTACGTGTGTATCTTAAGACCTGCGGAATTAAAATTTCTCAAGCTGGGAGTTCAGGCATCCATAGGTTTTTGGAACTACACAAGTTCATATGAAACACATCCTAGTTTGGGAACCAGTGGTTCAGATCGTTAAGCTGTTGATATGGCAGCCTAGAATCAGTTCTTGGGTCTTTCCACATGGGCAGCTATATTATTTTATGCAGTGTTTTAGAATTGACTTTATTTTCTATTTCCGGTATTTTTCCAGCGCATACACAGTTCTTTCTGTGGATAAAACTCATCTCTTTATCTACAGTAACATTATCTTTTCTTTCTATTGGATATGGACCTTGTTTCCTCTCAAATTTCTTTTGCGTGTTATTAAACAACATACCTTCTAATAATATATATTTTTTTCAAATTCAGTATATATTTTTTACTATTTCATGGCAGGATAAATGATTTTCAACATGGAGGGAGGAAGGCTTCTCTCAATTTCTCAGAATTTCTCTGAAGCAGCCCTAAGGATTCCTAGAACTCTGTACACGATTAAGGCCCAACCTCATACTGTACCACAGCTCACAACCCCAGCCCACCTCAAAAAAAAAGGGAAATGTAGCAGGGCTTTTTTTCTCGATTCTTCAAAAGCATTTCCGATTATTTATTTTAGTCATTTTACTGTGTAAATCAATTTTATTGAGATATAATTTACCTACAATAAAGTATACCTACTTTAAATGTATAGTTTGTTGAGTTTTGTCAGATATGCTTATGTAGCCACCACACAATTAAGATACAGACATTTCCATCATCCCAAAAAGTTCTCATCTCTTTGAAGTTGTCCCTCATCCTACCCATGACCCCAGGCAATGATCTGCTTTCTGTCACAATATTTTAACTTTTTCTATAATTTCATGTAAATGGAAACAATATGTAGATTTGTGTGACTTCTTACACTTAAGTTATTGTTGCATGCGTCAGTAGTTTGTTCCTTTTTATTGCTGAGTAGTATTTCACTGGCGTATATACCACGTTTTGTTTATACACTTGCCAGTTGGTATACATTTGGATTGTTTCCAGTTTGGGGCTATTGTGAATCATGTTGTTATGAACATTTATGTACAAGTCTATGTGAACACATCTTTTCATTTCTTTTGAGTGGTTCTACCTAGGAGCAGAACTATTGGGTAATAAGTGATTAGACTATTTTCCAAAGTGGCTGTACTGGTTTGCGTTCCCACCAGCATTGAATGCAAGTTCTGGTTGATTGATATCTTCGTTAAAACTTGGTATCGTCAGTCTTTATTTTTAGCCAGTTTGGTGGGTGTGTAGTGGTATCTCATTATGGCTTTATGTACATTTCCCTGATGACAAGTGATGTCGAGCATAATTTCATGTGCTTAATGGCCACTTATGTATCTTGTGTTTAAATCTGTTGCCCATAATTTAAATTGAGTTGGCTCATTGAATTGCAGTTCTTTATATATTCTGTATATAAAGTCCTTTGTACACACACACACACACGCACACACACAATGTTTTCTCCCAATTCTTAATTTTCTTAGTGGTGTCTTTCAAAGGCAGAAGTTTTTAATTTTAATAAAGTTCAGTTTATCATATTTTTCTTTTATATTTCATGCTCTCGGTGTACATTTTTAGAATGTTTACCTAGCCCAAGATCATGAAGATTTTCTTCTCTGTTTTCTTTATTAGTTTTAACTTATTTTTAGTTCTGTGATCCATTTTAAGTTAATTTTTGTGTATGGTGTAAGGGAATTGGTCTCTCTTGAAGATTCATTGACCATATATGAATGGGTCTATTTCTGGATTCTCTATTCTGTTCTATTGATCCATTTGTCTATTCTTAGACTGAAGTATACTATCTTGAGTACTGTAGCGTTTAAGTAAGTCTGGAAATCAGATAATGTAAGTCTGCTGTCTTTGTTCTTTTTCAAAATTACTTTGGCCATTCTAGGTCCCTTGTATTTCCATGTACATTTACATATAAATTTTAGGATCAGCCTGTCAATTTCTTTTAAAAAATCTTCTGAGATTTGGATTGAGATTGCACTGAATCTATAGATCAATTTGGAGAGAATTGACATCTTAACAATATCGGGTCCTCCAATTTATGAACATGGCATATTTCTTATTTAGATCACCTTTAAGCCCTCTTAACAATGTTTTAGAATTTTAAATGTATAGGTCTTATCCATAATTTATTAAAATTATTCCAACTATTTTGTTTTTATTGCTATTATAAATAATATCATTTTTTAAAATTTAATCGAATTGTTCATTGCTAGTATGTAGAAATAAAGTTAGGTTTTATAATTGACCTTTCTGAATTCATTTTCTTACATCTTATGATTTTTTCATAGACTTAGCATTTTCTACATACACAATCATGTTGTCTATGAACAAAGTGTTTTTACACCTTCTTTTCCAATCTGTATGCCTGTTACTTCTCACCTTTTTGTAAGATGATGAATAGAAGTGGTGTACAATGATGAATAGAAGGGATAAGACATTCTTGCTTTGCTTCTGTTCTTAGATGAAATTCATTCATTCTTTTTATCATTCAGTATGATGTTAGCTGTAAATTTTCATACATATCTTTTACCAAGTTGAATGGTAAAATTCTATTTCTATTCTATTCCTATTTGACTATTCCTAGTTGACTGAGAGTATTTTTTCAATGATGAATTGATGTTGAATTTTGTCTTATGCTTTTCTTCCATCCATTGAGATGATTGTATATTTTTTCTTATTTACCCAGTTAATAAGGTAAAACTACTTTAATTCATTTTTTTTTAATTTGTTAAAATTGGTTGTTATTTATTTGCAAAAAACTTCAAATAAAGACAGTTTCGTATACATTTAATTTTAAACTAATCTCATTCCTGAGATAAACTCCACTTGGTAATGATATATTTATTATGCTTTTAGCCATTCTAGGTGTAAATTCTTGACCGTAAATAGCAAACATAAAACAAGATCAGGATGATATGAAAAAAGATACCTTCAAGAAATGGCAAAGCTCTTGGAAATGTGTAACCAAAATTTTAAATTTAGTAGAAGGATTGGAAAATAAAGTTGAAGAAATCTCCTGGAAAGTACAGAGTTGTAAAGTAGGAGTAAAACAAGTATAAAATTAGGGGATAAATCTGGAAGTACATCTTTAGTTATTAGAAATTCTGTAACGTGAGAACAGAGGAAGGGGAGGCAACAAGATTAGCAAAGAAATAATACAAGAACATTTCCCAGAATTGGAAGAACAAATCTCCTCACCAAAAAGGCTAAGTGCAGCTGGCCTAGGAGGCCACTGGTCCGGATTGCAGCAGGAGGACGAAGGGCCCAGGGGAGGCAGTCCGCAGGGGAAAATTGGAATGGATGAGCTTGAGTATATGGAAAATACATTGATAAGACAAATAGCAGACATGTTGAAGTATTTGCAGAAAGTTATTAATAGATACCTGGGAAATCGAGGAAGTGAAAAAATGAGGCAATTATTAACTCTAGAGAAAAAAATGGATAGGAAGAAAGAAGACATAGTCATGTTTACCTATTTGTCTCAGCTATGAACCATGTTTGCGTAGTCAAAGTAATGTCAATGTATGTAAATGTGGACTGTTGTTTTAACTAAAATTATTCCAGAACTATGTTGGAAGAATGAAAGCAGGAAAGTAGAGTGCAGGAAGGTGATGCAGGAGAATTTAGTCTCCATCTACCATGGTAGGAAGTCAGATAAATGTCTAAAATGGATAAGTCATGGCCATATAAACATTTAAGACTGAATGATGATTAAAAAAAAAAAAGAAAAGAAAAAGAAAAACAGGTTAAACGACCAAAAGAAATAAAGGTAATTGCTTCTGAGAAGATATTGTTGTGGGGAGGGGGTTGGGCAAGAGAAATTTAAAAATTAAAGAAAAAACATAATAAACTTCTCTTTTCATATAGAGATTGCAGTATTTCAGAATGTTTTTGGCCTAAGTACACCCAGGTTTATTGTCACTGAAAGTTTCTCTGAACAACTCGACTTATAGGTTTAGTACAGTGCTTTGAGTGGTAGACTTGTAGTATTTGTTAATCAAAAGATATTTCAAAAAAAGGAGATTTGACTAACTCAACTTGTTTCTATTTTTCTTTTAGGTTTAATTTTTTTTATTTTGACACTGACATAGGTCTACACATTAGGAACTCATGTCTTTTCTTGTAAGTAAACCAGAGCGAATTAGGGTGAGTGTTTCTATTCTTCTGGCTTTACTATTTTCACTTTCTGAAAACCAATATGTTTGGGCAGATATTGTAGGTGTTTTTTTATGTGATGCTCAGAATCATATGGATGTGAGGGTTGGGGGAAGTAAAGCAGGTGTGTTGCAGCCTCCACTCCTGAGAAAAGAGCTTGCAGGCGGAGGCACAGAGTCCACCCGGCTCTTGTCTGATAGAGAAGAAACAAGAAGGCTTATTTTGTGACTATCAGTCATTCAACATTAAGTGAGTTGAATATGTAGATATGTAACTGCTAATGATCTGCCCATTCCCTATGTATTTTCAGCAAGTTTGTGTGTTTTAAAAATCAGTATCAAACTGTAATCATTGCCCATGAAAGATTATTACACCTGAAAACTTCACCAGCTAAAATTGCCTCAAGAACAAATACTGGCTTTAACTTTTTTACAGGCTTTCATGATTTCATAAAAGAGTATCTTATTTCATTGATTATCAATTACTTAATTTCTGAATGCAGTAGTAATTATTTTAAAAGTCTTATAACAATGTGTAAGTGCTATGAGACATCGTGAATATACCACTTTCTTTAAATAATAAAGTGACCCAATTTAGTTTTATTAAATATTAAATATTCTGTGGCATAGCGCATGACTTTTTATATTAAGTTTTTAATTTAAGGTGTTATTTCCTTCTTACTTTGGAAAAAAATTGACAGACAAGGACAGAGAATGATGTTATAGTTTCAGTTTATAATCCATATTATGTAACTTACTTCTGAATGTTACTTAATCTTTTTTTTTATGTTTATGTATAAATACAATTTATATTGAAAAGAGCAGACTTCACTGTTAAGAAGAAAAATGGAATCTCTCCTTAACCTGAACTCTGCCCCACGGAAAGAACATCCCCAAGCCAAACTTTAACAGCAGTCCTTAAGTGAAATATAATCTTGGTTCCATTGCTTTTAAATATGAGATGTTTTTCTATTTCAGCCTAGTCTGATTCAGGTGAAACCAGACCACTGATCAGTCTGATAGAAATCCAATACTTGTTTGAAATGAGCCAGTAAAGTGAACCATAGATTGGTCATGCTAGTTTGATCCTTATAAACTTGGTAGAAAATGCAAGCAGTGATGTCTATAGAAATCTTAGTGCGTGAAAGAAGATGCAGCTCGCAGTTTCCTTTTACAAACTAATAGAGGCTCGTGAAAAACTACTCTTTCATCCCTGTTTTCTGTGTTGTGAATTCCAGTAATGTTTTTCAGATTGGCATTTACGGTCCTAAGCCTCTGTAATAGACAGCCATGGAATGAGGAAGGTGGAACCAAAAGTTTGTTTTATATACGGGAAGATCGAAAACATTCTTTATGAGTAGGGCCAGTACTATGTGTTTCTCATCTGTTAGATTAAGAATTACTCATTATATTAGTCAACGAGGAATAGAGACAGAAATTAGGCTTTTATTTTCAATAGATTTAAATCCAAGATTCTTTTCAAAACTGTTCTCTAGAAATGCATCTTAACTGTACTGCATGATTCTGTTTTTGTAGTTGTGTGTTTGTTTGTCTGTCTAATGGCTGATAGCTAATTTTTTTGTGGCTTGGAAAAAATACTAATTCTCTTTGGGGTTTTCCTCTTTAGCGGTGGGTCTCGGAAAAGTTCATTGTTGAGGGCTTAAGAGATTTGGAACTATTCGGAGGTAAGTACAGTATGGCAGTTAGCCATCACTTCAGGATAAATCTCACTACTCTTGTTGACTGAATCTGTTTAGAGAAATAAGCAATTCTAAGGGCAGGTGTAAACTACAGTTGTTGTATTTATTTGGCTCCTTTTTGAATCCATGGTTTCGCAAAGATTTGAGAACTAATCTGGCAGTTGTCCTTGGCTTGTCTGGATCGTTAGAAAGCCAGTGTTTACTTGAAAGCACATGTGTTTCTTCTAAGTATTTGTCCAGTTGAAATACATATTCTTAAAAGAAAAAGAAAAAACTAAGTGTTTAAAAGTCTCTAGCCTTGAAGATTTTAAAAATAAAATTATAGTCAGACATAGACAGCAATGATACAAAAGTTCTGGTTTTACTGATTAATCTAGTCGACCTATCTTTTCATGGTAGAAATTACGAGACTTAAGAGAACTAAGGAAAAATATCTGTCAAGACAAAAAATGTTAACTTCCTATTGGAAAAAACGGAACATTGATTTCAGAAGTAAAGTAGGTTTGCAGCTGTGAGGCCTAACGGCCCAGACATTCTCCTTTGGCTGTTTTCAAATTAAGCCTTTTGGGGAACTGTGATCTTAAGGTAAATAAAATTCGTTTCTATAAAAATAATAGTAGCAGAGCCTCATTCTTTGTGTCTGAACACCAAGATACTATCTTCGGCATCTATAGCTAAAGAAACAGATTATCAGATTGAATGCATTGGTTTACTGATCCAGAATACCCCCAGATAGGCTACGTAATTGAAAAGTCAATCTAGTTATTAGGTCGTACCTATTCATTTATTTTCCCTAATGCTGTTCAACAAACTTCTGGAGTCTTATTATTTTGTGAACTTTGTCGAAGTGTTGTGTTTTAGACAAAGGAGAGTTTAGAAAAATGGTGAGTTATTTTTTTATTTAGTTATAAAGAATAAAAATGAGCTATGCAATAAAGGAAAGGCTAATGAAATAAATATACCATATCCTGGTCCTATTCTCAATTTCTTCCCATCATTAATGGGAATACAATGGTTTAAAAGTAAATATTGGCATTGATGGAAATTGAGTTGGAAGTCCAGTTTATAATTAATTAGTTAAAAATATTCCAGTATATGTGACTTGAATTAATGTATTTTGATTTTAGCATCTTGAGTGTAGGATTTCTGGCTGTCTTTTGACAATTTCCTAGTCTCTGATTTGAGAAGGATGAAGAGATTGTTCTGTATATTATTGACAGCTTGATAAAGGGTATATTACCAAATTTTAAACAACTTGGAATTTGCCTTCTCCTCTGGAAGATTGGGGTTTGATTTCCTTTAATCTGTTTACCTGGCTCTTACCTATGATAGACTGTCTTAAACTTCTCCTGTCATATATGTTTCAGAAAACCGATGTCCCAGGCCAAAAAAATATCTTATTTTGGTAAATTGAAGCTAATTGACTCTGCAGCCAGTCTCCTCTAGCAATACAGTTAGATGCCCTTATTTCTAATTTAAGATTTTTGGAAATGTATTCCAATACTTTACAGTTAGAAGTCTTACTCTGATGATTTTTATCAAATCTCTATTTTACAGAATAGAGAAAATCAAAAGCACAGATACAGAATTTGTCCAATTTAAGAGCAGAAAGTTGTTTCACTTGTCCTTTGCTGTATTCATTTTCACCAAGAATAGCAGAAGGCCCCAAAGCTTTTGCTTTTTTTGCATTTAGTGTAGAATGTGTGTCTGACTGGAAAGTCAAATCGGGTAATGGTCCCACAAACACATGTGGCTACATGAAAACTTTTTTTTCTTTAAAAAAAAAACTGTTTTCTAGCCCCTGCACTTCCTGGGAAATAGCTGACCATCACCACAACTTTATAATGAATTGTTCACAGTGTAAGACTCTGAAACCAGGCTATTGAAAGTAATACTGTATGCTGATGAAAAGTAAAACATATGACCAGAATTATGGCAGTTATTCTCAGCGGAGAATACCCATAGGCCAGTAGCCTTGCCAAGTTTTGAAGAGCCATAGATTCACGTTTAAAACGCTATCCATCTTTCGCAGCATTTTTACTGTGGATCTCGTGCATGTGTATGTGTGTCTGTGTTTATACGTAGCACTGCAGGCACTTTTTGCTGTGATGACTCTTAAGTGGTTTCCATTAATAAATGTAGTCTTCAGTGCAATAATCGCTGTTCTGAATGTGGGTATGTCTTCTACGAAAAAACAAAATGCCAACAATCCATTTCTCTACTCCAGAGCAGCCTCCGGGTGACACTCGGAGAAAAGTAAGTGACTTTCTAGGCTCTAGCACTATGGCTGTTGCATGGAAAATACTTCTTATGGAAATTTGTGTGTTTTGTTGGCTCACCATTTTATGTTTCTGCTTATCTTTCATTGAGCTTTATTTGAAGTGTAATTCTTTCACTCGTGGACGTTCAGGTTTCACCCTGGAAAGATTTTGATGTGAGCTTTGAAAACTGAAAAAGTCGCAAGCACTTTTTGTCTCTCTCCTGGGGATAAAGGTCTCCTCCCGAGCTTCCTAACCCTACCAGTCACCCAGAACTTCCTCCAAAAAAGGAGAGAATTTCAGCAATCTAAAATGTAGTTATCTTTTAGTGGCTAGTGGCACTAAATTCTCCATATAATTTATTAATAATAGATTTCAGTCCCCAGAGAGTCTGTAGATCTCTGTCTAGATTATAAGGCAGGACCTCCAGTCTCCTACCTTAAAAACAAAACCCCAAATTAAAAAGTTCAAAACAAAATGTATTTTTTATTGGCAAAAGCTACAAGACCTCTTGCCCCGCTTCCTACTCCTCTGGTTTATTTTACCTAAGGAAATACTACTAGATGTGTACAGTATACTAAGCTATTTTTGACAATGTGAATACATGTCTTTTAAAGAGAGAGAGTAAGAAGCCTTTTCTGAATAGACTTCCTACTCTTCTCAGGTGACAGACATTTGCACCTTTGCAGGCAACCCCATGGTTGAGTGAAGGGTAATGATGTCGACTAGGGATTTCTCCGAGTGTGCTTACACAGTCTGCTAGTCAGGAGCACCTCTCTCAGAGCCAATATTTTCCAGTCAGGAGACCAAAATTGTTCCCTATAAGATCAATTAGGTATTTTTCCAAAGTACAATGCCAATTAATTATATGTAATGTTTAGATTCTCACAGCTGCCGATGTTATACCAAAAGTTATCCTGTGTGAAACCTATGGGAAGTTGAATGTGTTTATTTAGTAGCGCTTCATAAATTTCGTCTTTGTGTGCTTTATTGTACTTTGTTTTGAATTCTTTAAGCAAAATTTTAATTTTGTGGTCATTTCTGGATATCAGTAGCTTGTGTATTTTTCAAATGCTTTAAAATGAATAGAATGCTTTCATGGTTGGGAAATTAAGAAAAGGCTTTGAGAGAATTAGTTTCTCTCTAGGAAATTTGAGATTATACATTACACTAATAAAACTGTGCCGTGCTGTGTTTAAAGAAAATGGACTAACTATTTCATCCGTTTCATCTGAATTTTGACCTTTTTTAAATCTAAAACAATATAATGAAGTAACCTGCCTTTCTTGTGGCAATGTCAGACCAGACCTCATCCTTTGAAAATGTTACCTTTGTTTGTTTTCCTCAGCAAAGGTCGGTTTCTCTCTGAGTCCAGACCTAGAAAACATCCACAAAGTAGAAAGTCTCCATTTTAGGATTATTTTCAGTAGGTTGGGGATAGAGTGGTAGAGGAGCCACAGCACCCACTTGACTAGTTCATTCCACGCAATTCCAGATCGCCCCAGAACTCATATTCCCAATTACCTCAAGAATTTTATTTTCTAAAGCTGACACTTTTGAGTCATTTCCTGTAGTCAACAAAGAGAGCAAAAAACTATCTGTCACATTGTCAGCTAATCACGTCAGTAGTTTACAGAATCATTCCCTACTTGGCTCAGCAAGAGTGTGTCTTTAATGGGTAGCCTGGTAGACAGTGTGTCTTATATGCACTCATGGTGAGGAAGCAGGACATAGGTAATAAAAAAAAAAGTATCTATCTGTAGTTTTTTCCAGAGGGCGTTATTTAGAGTGCATATAATAAATATTTTAATCTCAGGACCCCAGCTGCCCATCAAAGTCTCTTTCTCACATCAGAGAAACATTAAAGAGTTTGCCCGGAGATCAGAAGAGAGAAGACCTTCAAATACAAAGCAGTTCTAGATTTGTTCTCATAGGGGCCGTATTGTTACCTGCTCAGAACTGCAGTACAGTAAGTCCTCACTTAACCATCGTCAATAGGTTTTGCAACTTTAAGTGAAATGACGCCTAACGAACCAACTTTATCATAGGCTGATTGATATGAGCCAGAGTTAAGTTCCTACAGTTATAATGAAACAATGTTATTTGAGGACCTGCTATACTTTCTCACATGCGGGTATCAGATTCTGATCTATAAAGTGCCCCTAAATGAGGGCTGGCATTCCCAGTGTAGGGCATTATGTCGAACCCTGTCTCCAGTGGAACTGGCTGGTACCTTCACCCTACCCTCCTCTTCAGCCCATGGGAATGACAAGGTAATGGGCAGAAAACCTCAGTTCAAACTTTGCTTAAATGATTTTTAAAGTATGTGCCAGCATTGTTGCAGGCATTGGGAAATACATCAGTGAGCAAGACAGACAAGGTCTGTGCCCTCTTAGAGCTTGCATTCTAGTAGAAGAGACAGGCAATAGATAAATAAACGGCAGTGATACCTACTGTGAAGAAAGTAAAGGAAGATGAGTAATAAAGGGACTTGGAGCCTATTTTGGCTGGACAGAGCCTTCAATGAATAAGTGACATTTAAGTTGAGACTTCAATGATAAGGAGGAAGCAGCCATGAGACAATGGCAGGGGCAGGAAGGAGTAGGGCAGGGGTGTTCCAAACAAAGGGACAGCTAGTGCGAGTTTTCTAAGACTGGAGCGTCAATTTACAGGTCAGGGGAGGGTGGTATGTGGTGAAATCATAGAAGCAGGCGGGGGCCGAAGCACGTGAATACTCAGGCCAGGGTGGAGCGCTGGGTCTGAAAGCAGCCCCCTGGGTTTGTGTTAACTGACCTTCACTGAGGAGTGGATTGGTACTTGAGAACACAGGATCCGCAGAGCAAAGAATATGTGCAGGGGCTTAGAGGTATAAGGGTCAGGAGATGGGATTCTGAAAGACTGACTTAGCATGAACCTTGTAAATTCTCAACAAGTGGGGAGTCGCCATCTCAGAGCTCCTGGTTTAAGCGTTTTGCTCAGATGACTACTCTGTCTTGTCCCTTGGTCATGTACCTCTCTCACCTGTGTGAGGCGTCTGGCATGTAGTAACCAGTATCCTAAGACTGTTCTGAAGACAAGAGAGTTTCAAGAAGCTACAGCAGCTATTAAACAGTCCTAGAATTTGTTTTCAGAGCGTTTGAAAACACAGGCAAGTGTAAAAACCAAAATCAAACCAATCTTAACCGTTGATCAAGCTCTGCTTGGATCCTCTGTATTCTGTGTTCCATTTTATTTGTTGAGCAGGAGAGTGACCAAAAAGGAGACAGCGAAAGAGAGAAGAGAAGAATAGAATTCACATTTATTGTGTACCCGTGACACAGCAGTAGGCTTTTTATATATTTTATCTCATTTAATTATCACGACAACCCTATGAAATGGGAATTATTCCACTAATGAGATAACGGGAGATCCCAAGAGGTTAAAGTGACTTGTCCAGGGTCACAGAGCATGTATGTGATAGACCTGAGTTCCAGTTCTGCCTCTGTCTGGCCCCTAAGCCTCTGCTCTTTGCACAATTCCATGTATTTTACTTAAAGTAGCCTCTTTCAAATTATCTTTCCCCAAATTTAACAGACGTTAGGCACAAAAGGGTTCTCTGGAAAAGTATGTTTGGTAAATTCCAGATTAAACAAAGTTGAGCAAGTTTCCTTATTACAGAAGTTCTTGCAGCGTTTAATATACAGGTTTACCTTGTAATTCTCCATGAGAGGATATGCTGCATTTTCGAACTTAATTGGACATGTAAACTTTTTTCATGAGTTAACTGCCAGGATCAGTGTTCTGTGGTATCTACTTTGTGGAACTCCTACATTAAAACAACTCAGTAGAAAAATGGACAAGGACAGGAAGAAGCATTTCACCTTGGAGAAAACCCACATGGCCGATAAATACACAACAAGATGCTCCACTTCATTAGCAGTCATGGAATTGTAAATCAGATCCACAATGAGATTGGCCAAAAATAAGTCTGACTATACCAAGTATTGGGAAAAGGTGGATCAACAACATATACATATTGCCGGTAGGAGTGTAAATTGGTGTAATCATTTTGGAAAACAATTTGACATTATCTCATAAAGTCGATTGTTCATATACTCTGGGACCTAGCATTCCTACTCCTAGGTATAAGCTTTAAAGTAACTCCTGCATATGTGCATCAGGAGACACATTCACATGTGTTTCTAGTAGCACAGTTCAGAGTAACAGAACTGAAAAACAACCTCAAAAGCCCATCCACATCGGAATGGATAAATTGGGATTAGATTAATCAACCAAGATGAACATGATACAGCATGGGCTTAAAATATAGCTAAATACAACAGTGTGGATAAATCTTAGAACTATAAAAATCGATTAAATGAGAAATATAATTTGCTGACGAAGCTCCATTTTGCTTGACTAGGTGCTCTCATTGTCACGAGGTGATGCAAAAGACAGAACCCCACTTGCTTTCTTTCCCCATTGGCAGCATCAATTGTTTTGAAACCTGATGTACTTGAAACATCAGGGATCCCCAACAAGGTGGTACCTCCACGTCAGAACATTCTCAACTCACACCCTTCTGGTTAGTGTTTAGCCAGGAGCCTTTCATGTGTTCGCAAAGACTTTTTTTTTTTTTTTTTTTAGGTGAGGAACCCTTGGTTGACCTCACAGATTGCAAGGACCCTGTCAGCTTATAATCTCTTATTTTTTATTTTTTACGCCTACAGCACCTGGTCTTCCTAGGTGGTCTCCCATCCAAGTACTAACCAGGCCCGCTGCTGCTTAGCTTCCGAGATCAGGCAGGATCGGGCTTATTCAGGGTGTCATGGCCGTAGACCACAAAGACCTTTTCTTGACTAGAAGTCAGGTTCATGAATGCAGTATGTGAAGTACAACCTGGCCTAAGGTTCTCCATTTCAGTGAGACACACATCCAAAGAAAGAGAATCCAGAAGAAAGAAAAATACATGGTCCCTAAGTCATACAAATAAATCGAGGTCTGGAAGAAAGAAACTGAGCATATTCAGCTGAAGGAAAAGCTGTTCATCTGCCACAAATTTTGCTGGGCACTTCCCTTCAGGATCTCAAAGGCCAGAGGTGTGACACTGACATCCTGAATGGCTGGGATCCAGCTTTATTTGCAGCATGAATGGGCAGGATCAAGGGAGCAGGTTACTTTTGCTACCCAGGATGATGACCCCTGGCAGCAGTGTTCCTCCCCTGCCGCCCAGTGTGTTGACTTTTTTTTTTTTTTTTTTGCTTCCCTTGGACATATGCCCAGGATGATGACCTGGCAGCAGTGTTCCTCCCCTGCAGCCCAGTGTGTTGGCTTTTTTTTTTTTTTTTGCTTCCCTTGGACATATCATGGAATGATTGGTCTGGGGTATTAGTTTGCTAAAGGGATGGGGAGACCTTATGGCCACATTTTCCCTATAGCAAGATTCAGCATTTGACCTTTGGGATCTTGTAGTCGAGACTTAAAAATAGGACTCTAATGCAGCAGGAAATTCAAGAGAAACTCTCACCTCTCCATCCCTTTTCTCTTTTCTAAATGTGCATTTCTCCATTCTTTCCCCAGGTAAGAATTTCGTAGTTTTTAGCAAATGAGCCAGTTGTTGGAAAGGACAAACAAATCAACAGTTGCCTGGACTGGCCCTTGTCTGTCCTCCCCTCCCTCCCCCCCAAACCGCCGCCCTACCCCATCCCCCGTTTGTAGACAGCGCTAACACTGACTTGCTCTGATACTGGTACTGATTCCTGCATTGAACATCTCATGTTTTGCTTTACATTTCTCATTTAAAAAAAAAAAAAAAAAATACCGGCACTAGTTCTTTGCCCCAGAGTCAGAATTTCTGTTTGTTTAGATGCCATTCTTCTCAGGAGTCTGACTTACCACCTCCTGACTCCCATCCCACCCCCAGTTTTCTCTTATTAATCTATTTTTCTTTCTCTTTAGACCAATGAGGCGAGCTCAGAGTCGATAGCATCCTTCTCTAAACAGGAGATCATGAGCAGCTTTCTGCCGGAGGGAGGGTGCTATGAGCTCCTCACCGTCATAGGTAATGACCAGGGACCGTCCTGACTTTCTTGCTCCAGGGGACTCCTGCAGCTCTCCCAGCATCTCCAGATGCATGCGTGTCAGCGGCTGTCAACTAGTGGTGACAGAACTGGCTTTTGCAGGTCTTCTTCCAAGTATGGGAAAGAGACCGTGTCACCAGGAAAGGCGGTCTTCTGCAATTTGTTTCTTTTTGGCTGTGCACCTGTGGTGTTCTGGGCCGCAGTCAGAATGGTTGGCTGGGAAGGAGAAAAATTAGGAAATGTCAGCTATGAAAGTAACAGTAGCGAAAGCTTTAACTTGAATTTTCTTTTAATTAATTTGTTTGTTTGTTTGTTTATTATGCCTGGTCTTCCTAGGTGGTCTCCCATCCAAGTACTAACCAGGCCTGACCATGCTTAGCTTCCGAAATCAGAGATCGGTCACATTCAGGGTGGCATGGCCGTAGACACTGAATTTTCTTTTTAAATCAAGTCTCTTTAAGGAAGTCAAAAACCTCTGTGGCTACTGTCCTAATTTATGGCATTCCTCTTTTCTTTTAGGCAAAGGATTTGAGGATCTGATGACAGTGAATCTAGCAAGGTACAAACCAACAGGAGAGTACGTGACAGTACGAAGGGTTAATCTAGAAGCTTGTTCCAATGAGATGGTGACATTCTTGCAGGTAATAAAATGTGAATGTGAAACTTGGAAGGTGGGCTCTTAGTTCAAGTAGTAATTATAGGGCATCTCTTCTGACTTCTGAAAAAACTGGCAGGAAATGAAGGTAGGCCGAGCCAAGAGGTGACAGGTGACGGAAGCTCTCACTGAAGAATCTTGGGCATTTCGCAGTAAAGATTGTATAATGCTGCTCAGCTCAATTTATATTCCCCTCTTCTCCAAAGACTCCTCTGTGCCTCACTTATTGATTATTCATTATTCAGAGAGCCTAAGTCACTTGCCCTGGTCACGCACACTAGTAAGTGGTAGAAGCAGGATTCAAACCCAGGCAGTCCTGGTCCAGGTGTGGAACTACCTGCACTGCCATGTGTGACCATATTCTGGCTCTTAGTGTCCTGTTAGCCTGAGGTTCCCTTCTATTGGAGGAGCAGGTAGCTGCCCTTTTGTTAAACCGGGAGAGACCACAGGTCGAGTAACCGACTGAGGACTGAATTCTCCTGGGCTGATGAAGGCTTGGCACTGGGAGCTCCTTAGTTTAGGGCCTGGGTCAGCGTATTTTCAGTAGTTAGTTGCAGCCCCTCCCCCTTCTTCATTCGCAATGTTTTTCTGGATTCATGCTCATCTGACGGTGCTCTAATACCAGTTCACATGTTTAGAGTAGTTTTGCGGGTGCGAGGATGGGACAGAAAGTGAGTCCCAACTTAGCAATTTAGGAAAGAACACATCCAAGTTTGTTCTAGAGCACGTTGGACTTTATGATTCTTTTCTTTATTCTGTAGGCAGCAGACAGACACATAGAAGGTGCTGCCTGTTTGGCCTTAGCTCACAGCCCAGAGGCCAGGGCCCTAGGTTTTCTATAGTTCTTTTGTCCAATTTTTTTCCCCCACATCTTTTGTCTAAACTTATTTTAAAATTCCATAGGTCTTACGCTCTCTATAGCTGCTCCTGAGGAAGGGATCTCTCAGTCTGAGGTTATTGGAGAAATATCTTGTAATGTTTAGTAGTTGTCATTTTTTTGTTAATACTTTCCTCCCTTGTTTCTATTGACTACAACATTTTCCTTTAGAGAGGAAAACTTTTTTTTTTTTTAATCTTAAAGGGGAGTTCTGTGCCTTGGCCCTTGAAGGTGAGCTAAGCTTAGACCTTCATAAGTCTTCAGTCAACAGTTCGTTTTCCTCACCTCCGAGGCGGCGAGCTGGGGACCCAGTGCTGTGTTAGCAGTTTCCCTGTTGGCGGGAGTTGTTCTCTGAGGCTCCCTGGGGTTGGCCCGCGGAGCCAAACTTGGGCAGAAGCTGGCAAAGCAGTGCTGGCTTCCCGCAGAGGTGGCGGAGCCTCGTTTCTCTCGTACTGGAGGGCACCCCCTCTGAGAGGAGCACCCAGAAAAAGCCAGATCCCCATATAAGTCATGCTGCCACCTTCCTGTGGGGCCTCATCCCTCACTGCTCCTTGACTGACTCCAGCTTACCGTTGCTTTCAGGGGGAGCTTCATGTCTCTAAACTCTTCAACCATCCCAACATCCTGCCATATCGAGCCACCTTTATTGCAGACAATGAGTTGTGGGTTGTCACATCATTCATGGCATATGGTGAGTGGGAAAGGGGTCCTGGCAGAGAACGGTTCTAGGAACTCTTTTGTCAGCTGGCTTACGTGCCGTTTTCCTTCCCTGTTACCCTTCTCTACCTTCTCATAATTTCTTTTCTTCAGGTTCCGCAAAGGATCTCATCTGTACACACTTCATGGACGGCATGAATGAGCTGGCGATTGCTTACATCCTGCAGGGGGTGCTCAAGGCCCTGGACTACATCCACCACATGGGATATGTTCACAGGTGCATTCTTAATCGTACCCACCTTTACAAGAGTGGGGATCTGTGCCCATGAGCCCTCAAGTAAACTGTGCACAGGAGGGTTGACTGAAGATAGTGAAGCCAGAGTTTAAATCAAGGCTCAAGATTCTGCCCTTGCCTGAGTCAGTGGACAAAGCATTTTAGCCTGTCAGTGCTAAAGCTGCTAACTTTACTGAGCAGCTTGGTCCTGAGTATTGTGTGAAAGGAACATCTGACATGAGCCTCTGCACCCCCAACCCCCTTCCTGGGGCCACCCAAACCGGTGTGTGTGCCCCAGAGTCGGCCTCATGCTGACAGACTGGGCGAGAGACAGATTGCTTAGTAGATGGTGTCAGGAAAAGCAACTCACAGTAGGGAAGATACTAAAACTGAACCCCTAGCTACCTGACTCTATGTACAAAGGAGCTCTTCAGGCGGATTAAAATCCTCAATGTCAGATGTAAAACTATAGATCTACGAGGAAATATCTGTGACCTGAGGCATAGAAGAACTTCTAAATATTTTGGCAAGCACAAAACATAAGACAAAAAAAATTGATGAATTTGATTATGTCAAAATTAAAGAGTTCTCTCTAATAAAAGGACACCTTGAACACAGTTCGTAAGCGACAGAATGGAAGATATTAGCTTTGTTTAAAACACAAGGGGATTAGTAGCAAGGAAATCTTGTGAATCAATAAGAAAAAGATAGCAAAGCAACAGAACAATGGGCAAAGGATACGAAGTTTATAAAAATGGAAATCAAAAAGCCTAACAGTCATATGAACAGACACCCAAATCTAGCAATAATCAGAAAAGCAAATTAAAACAAGAGGATGTCACCTCATACACTGGAGGCTGGTGTAATTTGGAGGCCGGAGGAGGCCCAGGGCAGTGAGAAGGTGGTGCGTCCTTTCCATATCCTAGAAGGTGACCTGAGGCAGCCAGTCAGGGTCCCTGGGAACCAGGACTCTCAATGCTGCGTCTCTCTGTACACCCCAAAGGAACCCTCACACGGGTCCATCAGGGGACATGTACACGGCATCACTGTTCCTCCTCATGGAGGGAGGCAGTGTGAGTGTCCCTGGAAGAACGGATGAATGAAAGGGTTAGATCCCACCCTGGAGTGCAGGTGGCAGTTAGAAGCAAGGAGGAGATGTGTGCAGATAGCAACACAAATGGATCTTGAAAACATAGCCCTGAGAGAGAAAGGAAGAATGGGACGCATAACACAGTAGCATCAGGTAAGTTGAAAATATGTGCCCACAAAACAGTGATACACTTTACAGGAACAAAAGTCCAGATTAGTAGGGAAGCAGAGGTCTGTGAGCATGAAAGAGAACTGTAACAAAATATAAATAAGTTTCAAAATCTCATGTAAATGGGGTGATGCTACTTTTTCTTTTTTTGCATATGTTCAAAACTGCATAAAAATATGTATTTATGTGTATATAATATGTATATATACACTTATAATATACACACACACAAGCTGGCAGGAGAGAGAGCTAACTGGATCTAGTGTATGAAGACCAAAGGTGTGTGGTGGGGGGGTCTCTTGCTGCCCCTTGACCTCCCCCTCCCCGCCGCCCTCATCCCCAGGAGCGTCAAAGCCAGCCACATTCTGATCTCCGCGGATGGAAAGGCCTACCTGTCTGGCTTGCGCAGCAACCTCAGCATGATCAACCATGGGCAGCGGCAGCGTGTGGTCCACGATTTTCCCAAGTACAGTATCAAGGTTCTGCCTTGGCTCAGCCCGGAGGTCCTCCAGCAGGTCTGTGCTGGGTCCCAGGGAGCCATGGTCCCCACCACCTCAGGATACCCCAAGGAAGCCTCTGGGAATTTCCTGGGCTGGGGGCGGCGATCTCCGCTTCCGAGTGGAGGAAGCGTTCCGGGACGGGGGCTTCTCTGTTGGTGGGTCAGCCTGGGCAGCCTCTTGGTATGGCTATTATGTGCCCCTTGCAGATGAAGTAGTTCCCCCTCTGTGGGATCCCAAACTGTGCCTGTTTCAGCTCTCCTTCAGAAATCATCCCATCTCATGAGAAATGAGCATTTGGGAAATATTTGGGCTTCTCTCCATTCCGATACCAAGCAGGAGCGTGGGGCCCTGCACGTGTTCCTGCCTGCGCCATACCATCACCAGATAGTCATTCCTTCTCCAATCACAGCTATTCTTCAGTGTTGTAGGCAAGGAAAGTCGTAGCAGCTGGTCCTGATTTGGGGACAGGCATTCTTTCCCTCTCTCCAGTGTTTGCTCCACCCCCTTCCCTTTCTGAGAACAACCAAGGCTACAAATGGAGTGATCTGTGCCTTTTTTCTTCCACCGTAGAATCTTCAGGGTTATGATGCCAAGTCTGACATCTACAGTGTGGGAATTACAGCCTGTGAGCTGGCCAATGGCCATGTCCCCTTTAAGGATATGCCTGCCACACAGGTGAGTCTGCAGCCCAGTGGTTCCTTCTTGCCTGCCTGCCTGCCTGTCTGCCTTCCACAAAGGCTTATTGAGTACCTGCCACACTCAGGATGCTGGCCAGGGATACTTAGATGAGTCACAGTATTTTCCTTACACAACCATGCCCCAATGGGGACATGGTTGTGTGACTTTACTTCTCCACGTAATAACTGCTGTGGAAACGGAGCTCATGGAGCCCAGGAGAGGGAGCTCAGGAGCAGGCGTACCACAGAGGGTTGCAGGGCCTGGAGCAGGGGTGTCCATGGAGGTCCACAGACCAGGTGTCTGCTTACAATGTATAAATCATGCTCACACACTGTAATAAATTTATAAAATACGTTCTATCTTCCTACCTTGATAAATGCATGTAGGAGGCCAGTTTCTAATTTAGAATTCTCAGGCTTCTGTTCTTGCCCCTTACAATGACTGCCCTTTAGACACTCTTAGGCATACACAGCCAGTGGCATAGTCTCCCCTTGGGATGTAGTCCCAGGGAAGAGGCTTATCCAGGCCTTACCGAGTCCAAGGAGTGGACTTGGGTCATTGCGGCAAGGATTGCCTGGGCCCCAGGTACCTGGAACATAGCTAGCGCTGGGAGGGAGTGCGGGTGGGGTTGCAGGCTCTGAGTGAGCCTCCTCTCCCTTGAACCCACAGACTGCTTGCCCTGTGGGGAGGTGGGCAGCAAGAGAATGGCCAGAGAACTCTGTAGAACTGGGGGCCCAGGGAGGCTTCTAGGAGGAGGTGACGCTTGAGTCTTGAAGGCAAATAGGAATTAACTGAAGAATGGGAACTAGAAGGAAACTTTTAGGCAGAGAGAACCGCATGTGTAAAGACGCAGAGTCAAAGAACAGGATCTGGGCAATAGCAAGTAGTGGTAAATGGCCGGAGTACAGGTGCATCTGGTGGGGTAGGGGGCACAGGGTGCCGAGTGACGTGGCTGAAGGCGGAAGCAAAGGCAGGTCACAGAGGGCTTTGCATGCCATGCCAGGGCATTTGGTTCCTGTCCCAAAGCATGTGGAGAATTGCTGACGGCTTATAAACACAGGAATGATAACATCAGGTATATGTTTTAGAAAGGTCACTCCAGCAGTTGGATTAGATCTAGTAGACTAGTGAGCGGGGTGTGGAAATCTAGGTTAGAAATCTAGAAAACCTAAGTAAGATAGAAACAGAAAGATGCTTAAGAAAGAGCCGAACGGCTATTTAAGGTGATTGAGAGGTACCTATCCAAAAACAGCATTTGTCCGATAGAACTTTCTGGGATGATGCAAACGTTAGTTAGTCCAGTATGGCAGCCACTACCCAGCTGTGGCTGTTAGGCACTTAAAATGTGGCCAGTGAGATTGAGGAACTGAGTTGTAAACCTAATTTAAATTAACTTAAATATAAATAGCCACTTGTGGTTAGCTGCTCCCACATTATCTCAGCTCTAGAGAGATTTCTAGGTTTCTAACTTGGACAGAGAAATCTCCAGGGCCCGGGACAGTGATCCCCAAGATGGGGCCGGTTTTACATGTGCTGAGTCTGAGGGCTTTCGAACAGCTTGGCCTGCCCCCGGACGCACGGCTCTTGTGCAGCCTGGCGCAGTGACAGCCCAGGGCGCGGTGCCGCAGGTGCTGCATGAGGGACCCCATCAGCTCCACCTGGGCTTGGCAAGTGGGGCTGGGCTTCAAAGAAAGTAACCCGCTGCTGCCTTCACCCTAGGGAGAGGGCCCTGCAGTTTAAAAGGACCTGATGCCTCATAAGGGGAGAGGAGACTGTGAGCCCCTTCCTTCCAGCCGTGATGAAGGGGGACACTTTTTTTTGTAGCTCCCCCTCTTCGTTTTGGTCTGGCTCGGGTGGCTGCCCAGCCTGTGGCCAGTATCCCTTTGGAAAAGTTATTTATTCTACTTGTATCTTTTCTCTGCTACCCCCACATCACGTTTGTGCGTTGGGAAAAGTGTATCTGTGAAGAAACTCTGTAGGTCTTCCAGGGGCCCCCTTCCAGCCAGGTCCCGGCTCTGTCCTCCCCAGATGCTGCTGGAGAAACTGAACGGCACCGTGCCCTGCCTGTTGGACACCAGCACCATCCCCGCCGAGGAGCTGACCATGAGCACCTCGCGCTCTGCAGCCAATCCTGGCCTGAGCGAGAGCCTGGCCGCCGGCACCCCCAGGACCTCCAACGGCGACGCGCCATCCCACCCCTATCACCGCAGCTTCTCCCCCCACTTCCACCACTTCGTGGAGCAGTGCCTGCAGCGCAGCCCCGGCGTCAGGTACGCCCCCCGGCTGGGAGCGGCCTTTCGGAGGAGCGGAGGGCCCTCGAGTGTAAGGCAGGGTTCGAGAGGGTGCATCTGTCCTCTCAAGGTCTGGCTTCCCCTGAGGAGCCTGGAGCCCCCCACAGCAAGGGGCGGGGGTCAGCACGAGGGTTTGCTAAGAAGCCTGCTGAGGAGTTCTGGCTGCTTTTTCTTAACGAGCTGAGGAAAGAAGTCGAGGGGCATTTGAGGGTAAGAGATGAGCAGCAGGAGTTTGGAAATCTGGGACGTGGGGTGATGCTGGTCTCTCTTCCCCTTTCTCTGCAGACCAAGTGCCAGCACCCTCCTGAACCATTCCTTTTTCAAGCAGGTACAGTAGCAAGCACTTTGCCCAGGCTCCCCATTTTTTTTTTCTTGCCTGTGATTCTGATTCCCTCAATTCTCGTAGCTTTAGGGTCTTTAGGTATTCTCTCCTCCTCCCTTCAAATGAGAGAAATGACCATTTTCTGAAGCCCCTTAAAGATGCTGCTCCTTCCTTATAGCGACTCTTGACTGCTAAGGCCCATCTGTCACAGGGACCTGGTTCCTTGCCCCTGGGTGTCCTGGGTCCCAGAGCAACAGGATCCGTCCTCAACTCTTTCTCCTCCCCCAGATCAAGCGACGTGCCTCAGAGGCTTTGCCTGAGTTACTTCGTCCTGTCGCCCCGATCACCAGCTTCGAGGGCAGCCAGTCTCAAGATCACAGTGGAATCTTTGGCCTCGTAACAAACCTGGAAGAGCTGGAGGTGGACGACTGGGATTTCTGAGCCTCTGAAAAAGAGGTGCACATTTTCCAGCACAGGACATGTGAGCCACTGGGGGCCCCTCCTGAGTGCTGACCACATGCCCACCCTCCTGGGTGCAGACTGAGTAGAAAGAACATTTCTGCCAGGAGAGTTGCCTGCTTCCTGACAAGGAAAGAAATTCCTGGAGAGAAACTTTACTGCCCCAAGGCTTCCCAACAACCAGGGGTCCGGAGGGGCCAGAAGGCTAACAACATTCTCAGCCCTGAGAGCTCAGGTGTCCTCTTCAGAAGGAAGAGATGCCGTTCCGGCCCTCGGGGCTGCAGTTCAAGCCCAGGGTTTGACTCACGGACACCGGGAACCGTGTGACTCCCTCTTCCACTCTAGCTCTCCCACCAGCCAGATTCCATTCTTTCCCTGCGCGCTCAGATCCTGCGGGTCCAAGGAGGGGCAAGCAATAAGCGGTCCACGCTCCCTCCCCTGACTTCTCCCTAATAATTGAACGGAAGGGTATTTTTTTCTTTTTAAGCACTAGATTAAGGCTGGGGCAGTTTATCCTTGTCCCAGTGTATCCTTATCCTTGGGCCCTGACACCTAACACCTTCCCGTAATTCATCTTCGTAGTGCATTTCTTTCCCACCAAGAGTCCGTCTTAACCACCCCCAGCCAGCCGCCTTGGTGCTTTCTCCAAGGGCCATAATGTCTTGCCTAGCCGGAGGGCTTAAGTCCGTATGCTGTGTTAGTTTTATTGCCAGAACAAATTAAAACTTTCAGAGAATCCATTTGGAGAGTGGCATTGTTGTGTGTTGGCCACACAGGCTCAGACACGAGTCCTTCTGCCCTGGGTTCTGCCTGCAAGCGTGGTTTCACCGGCGTTCGTGAAAGCACAGCAGTAGATAGGCAGCCTCACGACACACCAGCTTCTTTTAAAGCCCGTGATAGATCTGTCTCTTAACATCTAAAATTCCGAGACTATTGATTTTAGCCTGTGGCCATCAAACCACTTAGGGGCTGGAAAGGTGTAGGTGCTGGAGGCCAGCCCCTCCATAGGACCGCTTCTGGGTCACTAGGTGTCCAGGCAGAAGAGGCTCACTTTCGGCAGGACGGGAGGTGGAGGCCTCTGTTTTGTAACATGACTAGTTTTGTTTTGTCACATGCAGTGTCTCCTTACCACTGGAACTAATACCCCAAAAGCAGGTAACCTGAGAATCGGACCAGCCTCCTGCCCTGTCACCCTGGCTGGCAGCCAGGGAGTCCGGGCCAGCAGGTGATCCTAACCTTGGTCTCCTCCACGCTTCCCATCTTGCACGTGCACCAGCTCAGCACCTTCCCTCCTGCGGGGCCCTCAGGGGTGAGGTGTCATGCTCTGGGTGAGGCACTTCAAATGTCAGATTAAGGAAGTGCCCCTCCCTCTTCCCTGAAGCTGCTTTGAACCATCAAATGTTCTCACTTTCTCTTTCCTCAGAAATTATACCAGTTTTTAAAAAGAAAAATAAAACCCTCTTCTTTGGGCAGTCATAGGGGTTGAGGTGAAGGAATGACATCAACCAGACGGCAGAGTGGGGAGACCTGCAGTGAACTGAGTGAGGAGGCCAGCTCACATTTATTTCCAACCCTCCGCCTTCCCCCTGCCCAGCTCATATTTTTTCCTTTAAACCTCAGGTTCCCTTTTCTTAACACCATTATCAGCTGGTTTTCTTTGCCTGTAAAATGCTTTCTTCACGTTGCTTGTCAGCTCCTTTTCAACGCCCAAACTGCTGAGTCTGTGGCGGCTACCTGCAGTTCAGCCCATAGATGCGACCTGGGCAGGGCAAGGGGGCCTCAGGGTCTGGGAGGCCAGACGGGAGGCCCAGCTGCCAGCCCGGCCCTGCTCCTTGTACCCGCTAAGGCTTCACCTTTCTTGCACACCTACATCCCCTTTGAGAATCTGATGACAGGTGTGGAAACTTTGCCAGAAAAGATGCAAATGAACAGTTTTAGAAGTTTCTCACATAAACCCCTTCCAGGGAGTCCTCAGGCCTGCAGCTCACCCAAACACAAACCTTCCTCTAGAGAGGAGCAGGAGGCTGAGAAAAGTGAAGCTCAGCATGGATACACTGAGAGCCAAGGGAACAGCTGGGGGCTGGGGAAGCCTGCCACCTTCCTCCCTCCCCTACCAGGCGCCTGAGCTGCTCTGCGCTCTGATAAACATGTGGGCCGGCTCTGGAGACACTAGTTCTATTCCTGCCACAGTGTGGGAACAAGCTATGTTTAGGGCTGCACTTTGTGAAACAGCTTCCAGCTTGTCAGGCTGAGCCCTGCAGTCCCTGGACCCAGTAGGCCCGCAGCCTCCCAGCAGAGGTTCCTCCAGGAGCAGTGCCCCCCATAACCACCCCCCAGGAGTTGAGTCTCTCTATCTGATCACAAATGATGGTCACTTGCCACCTGTGTGCCTCAGATCTGTTGTACTGTGGGCAGCTGGTTTGGCCAGAGGGGCAGGAGATGGGGTCAGGAGGCCCGGCTTCTCATCTCACTGTGCCAGCTGTTACTTGGAACAAGGCACTTCAAATCTTCAGGCCTCCTCCCTTGTGTTTAATGGTTTGGGTGCTTGTCTGAAGGATGGAAATCGCTTTCCCTGAAGGGGGTGCCTCCATGGTCAGGGGTGACTAATCCCACAAAATCCAGCCACAGAAACGTTTTAGGACAGCTCTGGGGACACCACAGGTAGTAGCTTCTCGAGCCCCATGTCTTGGTGGTCGCAGAAAGCGCTAAGGGATGGTGGTCCCTGCAGACCCTCATGCAGGCCCGCCCAGACCTGGGCGACCGCAGGTGACTAACACGGGGGCCCTGGGGCCCTTCCTGAGGCACCCGCCGGGCCCGCGTTCAGAAGTGGTGGGAACGCGTGCCTGGCCGCAGCTGCCATCTTCCGCAGCGGCCCTGCGGGGCTGCCCCTGGCGGCGGGAGGACTCCGTGGCCCGAGGGGGCGTGGGAGCCGAGCCTGGACCGTGGGCGGGCCTCCGGGGCCGTCCCCACGGGATTCATCAGGCTGCAGGGCCCACGGAGCGCCGGGCGAGGACTGTCAAGCCTGCGCCCTCGAGTGCCAACCAGGGGAAACCGAGGCACCGAAAAGCACAGGCGCAGCTCGGTTCTTTGCCGCCACAGGGGCCAAGCCGGAAGCTCCATTTGTCCCGCGACCCAGGGAATCTCAACTTGAACTCGTCCCCTCCCTAAATATGCAAAGTGGGGACCTCCGGCTCCCGCCCCTGCCCCCGTCTGGAGCTGGCAGACGGGACGGCGAGTTTCGCAAGGCCGGCGAGCGCGGAGCCGGAGGGGTAGTGCGGGGCGCCGGGAGCGCGGGGTCGGAGTGGGGGACAGACAAAGGCGGGGACAGCGAGCGAGGGAAAGACAAAGCGCACAGGGGGTCGGCGGCGGCGGCGGGGCCCCGGAGGCGGCT